TACGAAGTTGTAAATTTTTATTTTTATTCTTTCGCGTGAATAGTAAATTGCACGTGGGACCCACATCGGGAGCGGGGGCCGCCCGACATTCCCGAGACCTTATATTTTATTCATCTTGGTTTAGATAATAAATATATAGTGGTGGATATTTCATCTGGGCCATGGAAAGGCCCAGAGTTGACCGATTGATCAAAAGAAGCCCAAATTACCAGTACTGGTAATTTAACTGGTAACAGCCCGAACTGAATTTCGGAGGCTTATAAATTAAAGTTGGGGAATGTATATTCATTATACATGCCATAATGGGTAAGAGCACGTAATATATTTTATTTTACCCGATGAAATAAAATATGATTAAAACAGTCCGAAAAATACAACTTTCGGGACCGATTGTACACACCGGGACACAAAGGGATGACCTCCCACATGAGTGGGGGCCACCCCACGTTTTTGTGTGCTCAAATTGACCAAAGGAAGGCCAATGGTACACATGATGGGAGGGTGAGACATTGAGAGACACCAAAGGGGTCCCTCTCTCACTTATTAGCTAAATGAGACAAAAGGAACCCATCCCCCTCCTTCCTCCTCATTGTACTCGACCAAGCTACCCAAGAAAGAGGAAGAAACATCTCTCCAACCCTCCTCCATTGCTGCAACTCGAGCTCAACCAAGAAGGATCCAAGAAGTGGGATTAAAGAAGGAAAAAGGCTAGGAAAAGTGTGTAAAATTAAGGTAATGACCTTATTATAACTTTTCCTTTATTTTTCTTCTATCATATGAAGTATATATCATATGAAGGACCCTTAGTATGATTCCACATGTTATAAGTATGGATTTATGGGTTGGAAAGTGATTCTATGTCCAAGAACGGACTTAGAAGCCAAAACGACCGGTTCACCGGAAAATAACCTTTTGAGGTTATTTGTATTAATATGGGTTTTATGATTATAAAACCTTGTTAGGCACTTGTAAAGGGTATTTCAAGTGATTTCACAAAGTTGGAAAAGTCGCCGGAGTTGTCACCGGAGTTGACCAAAAGTCGCCGGAGTTTCACCGGAGTTCAACCAAGAAGGGTAGAACTTCTTAACGCTAGTTCAAGGTGAGTGGACGGCTTAATATCTTATAACTTTTGGGTTAATTATGAGATTACCTAAATAAATGTTATATGAGTTCATAAAAATGTTTAAAAGATATCTAAACATGTGATTAGCCAATAGGGTTAAGTTTGTATGAAAGAAATAAATTGTTGATGCATGGAATGTGATATGAGGAATTATATGAAATGCATATTTGCTTGAAGTGTATTGGAAGCACAAATGAATATTTTTAACTTAATTACATGATGATTAAGTTGATACTCACAAGGCATGAAATGGCGGTCAACGAAAACGTGGACCGAAGAATAAAGGATTTAATTAATACCGGTTGGTATTAATTAATTAGAAATCTATATAAATGCATGGTTTTGCATGGAATGTGATACATAGGATTTATGTATTGGATTAGTTATGAGTAACTAAGTATGATATAGACTCTATCTAGGTTGATAGGAGGTTGAGCATAGGAAAACTTGGTGGAGGACCCTAGTACTTAAAAAGTACTTAACACTCAAAACTTGGTGGAGGACCCTAGTACTTAAAAAGTACTTAACACTCAAAACTTGGTGGAGGACCCTAGGACTTAAAAGTCCTTAACACTCAAACTTGGTGGAGGACCCTAGTACTTAAAAGTACTTAACACTCAAAACTTGGTGGAGGACCCTAGGACTTAAAAGTCCTTAACACTCAAACTTGGTGGAGGACCCTAGTACTTAAAAGTACTTAACACTCAAAACTTGGTGGAGGACCCTAGGACTTATGAGTCCTTAACACTCATAAACCGGTGGAGTATCCAAGGATTATGATCCTAAAACTCATAGATTATGATATACAAATAGGGACAAGGAGGAGTCCTATACACTCATAGGTATATGGGTGGGTTGGGGTTTTTAGTCAAGAATATTGACTATTACTGTTTTTCCCAAATAAAATGGTGATCTACGGATCGGATATTTTCCAAGTATATATATACTAATAAGTATTTCATAACTTGGGGGAAAGATTATTTATTTAAGTATCACCCTATGTTTGGGTCTTATACTTGAAACGCTAGTTATTCTATATTTAGCCTGCTACTCGCTCGGTACTTGTACTGACCCCTTCGGGGGGCCCCACCATTTTCAGGTTGAAGCTAGAGCTTGCTACTTGCACCTTCTCACGGGTGATATCAAATCAGGGAGACGTGGTTCGTGCTTCCTTATTTTCTTTCAAACTACCGAACACTTTCTCATGGATATTTGTTTTACTATAAACTATTTTTGGGGCTTGCATGCCCATGTTGTTGGCCGGTTGTGGCCCATGACTTACCGTTGAATATTTCCGCTATTCATTGGTTTAAATGTGATGCTGTTATGTGTGTTTACTACTGAGTATGGATGGATTGTTTTCTCGAACGCCTTGTGTAATTAAGTGAGGTTGACTCGTGGGTGACGTCACTTAGTTATACGGCGGTTGTACACGCGCTTGGATTGCGGTCTGGGGCGTGACATGTTTGTTCTTCTTTTTCCCCTTTTTTCCTTTTATATTTGTTGTCTTTCTCTTTAAAAAAAATTTTTGGCATTTTTCTAATTATGTCAATAATATATCATCATTGGCTCATAAATAATCTCATTCTTGAAAAGTAAAGATATGATTTAGAGCCCGTTTGGTAACACTGTTTTTGACTTATCAGACTTATCAGTCAACTTTTTCACCAAACACGTAACTTTTGGAGTTACTGTAGATGACCGTTTTAGCTATATTTACATATAATGTTTTCTTTATTTTATTAATAAAATATACTTTTAAAATAATTTTCTTCTTAAATCAGTAGAATCAGCTAATGCAGCCATTTCATCCTGAACTTCATAAATTTCAGCAGAATCAGCTAAATCAGCCGATTTTCTGGTTGCCAAATAGGCTCTTATTATTAAAGTTTTTTTTTTGAGAAAAATCAGACTTTAAATCTTTCAGTTACTATCCCATGTTTTTTGGAGGTATTATCCATGCTATTTATATAATATTGACATTTTTAATATTGTAACTTTAGAGCATCCACATTCATGCTTCTAACATAAACTGATTTTTTTATGATTCTTACCTTTAAATATTTGCCACATAATTGTTTTAGAAATAATCTCATCCCCTCTCAATTATCTTCAACCATCATCCCAGAATAAATTAATCTTTTGTGGGTCCTGCATTAACTAATTAACTCTAATTTCATAAATAATCTCAAAATAATCCGGTTTCATATTTTGATCTTTGATTATTCTATCAATTAATCCTGCCCAATAATCTCTCTCACTCAACCATGCTCCTTGAAATAATCCGCCATGTCATTGTAATAATCACCTAATAATCTTATGGATGGTGATGCCCTTAGAAATAGTAAAAAAAAAATTATACACTTCCGTACAAATTTTCAAATCTTCCATACCGACATTTTTTGTATCTAAAGTTATACCGTAGATAAAATCTTACTCCGTAATTAAAATCATTCAGACATTAAATGTCTAGCATAACCAAAAAAAATCAAACGCGACAAAAATATTATACACTTTTGGTGACATCCATTTACTGTTTTTATCATGGATTTTTCAGAGTGAGAGGCCGTCTGGTAACAATATTTTTTGGCTTATGAGGTTTATTAGTCAACTTCTTTACCAAACACGTAACTTTTATTTTCGTGCACGGAATTGTGTAAATGAGAAAAGGTAAAGTCAATGTTACTTTTTTTGCCGTATTGGCTGAAGTTACAATAGATGACCATTTTAGCTATTTTACATACGGAGGATATATTTTTTTCATAATTTTATTAATATTTTAAACGTAACTTTTTCTTTAATCAGCAGAATCAGCCAATGCAGTCACTTCAACCATAACATCATAAATTTCAGCAAAATCAACCGAGTCAGCTGAGTTAGCCGATTTTCGTGTTACCAAACGGCTTTGATTGTTTTTTTTCTTGTTCCCTAACTCATCTAATAGAAGTTGTCGGCACGTACAAAAGATTCTGAAAATGTGTACAAAAAAAATTACATTTTTTACCGACTTAAATATCTAAGTCTGTAAGCATGAACTCCTTCGATATTTTTTGTCCGTGACATAATTTTACAAAAAAGTTTTTCTGTAAAAAGATTTATAAAAACCGGTTCACAAAATTCTGGCCATGTCTGAAACTTTTTTCCCAGTATTAGACATTTGTTGTCTTTTTTTTTATAAAAGACATTTGTTCTCTTTAAAATTGGATTTTTCTAATCGACTTTTTCGATTGCCTCACTTTATAGAAAAATTGACAATGAAGAATTTTGAAAATGTGTACAAAAATTATACAATTGGACTTTTGGAGTGACACATGATGCAACAGAAAGAGAAGTAAAGAATGTTTTTGATTGACCTAAAAAATCTTGATGATGTGATTTGGTCTGTGTAAGTCTTGACCAATATGTTAAAGTCGTGTCCGGGTGACCGGTCTGATACAGTAAACATTTGGTGAATGTGTATTTTGTTATTATCTAAATATAACATGATCTTTATAAATCTGATCTAATCTGATATGATATGTTTAAGTTGGGCGTGGACTCATATGAGACTGGAAATTGTAAATTAAAAATAACCTAAGAAGGAAGGAAGAAAAAAAAAGTATTCCCTCCGTCCCCGAAAGAAGTTCCCCATTTGACTTTCACACATTTTTATGCAAGTAAACTTACCAGGGGGTAAATTTTACTGTTTTGACACTGTTTGACACTGTTTCGACACTGTTTGACACTGTTTTGCACTGTTTTTTGCACTATTTTGATGTATATAACTTTCCATTTAAGGAAATGGGAACTTAAATTAGGGACATCCAAATAAGGAAAGTGAGAACTTCTTTCGGGGATGGAGGTAGTAAAAAGGAAAAAGAAAAAATGTGGCCTGCAACATATCCTTCCTCTCGTCCGCAGTCGCCGTGCAAGCACCATTGTTGAAACATGGTGAGAGTCAGCGTGCTGAATGATGCTCTTAAGAGCATGTACAATGCTGAAAAGAGGGGGAAGCGACAGGTCATGATAAGGCCTTCCTCAAAAGTCATTATTACGTTTCTTCTAGTTCTAGTGATGCAAAAGCATGGATACATCGGAGAGTTCGAGTATGTAGATGATCACAGATCTGGTAAAATTGTGGTTGAATTGAATGGAAGGTTAAACAAGTGTGGCATGATTAGTCCTCGTTTTGATGTTGGTGTTAAGGATATTGAGAGTTGGACTGCTAGGTTACTTCCATCAAGACAGTTTGGATACATAGTGCTGACTACATCACCTGGAATCATGGATCACGAGGAAGCCAGAAGAAAGAACGCGGGAGGAAAAGTTCTTGGTTTCTTCTACTAGTATGATTGTTCTAGGCTGGTTGTGTTCGCATGTATCTCTACCTAACCATTCAGTCCAATGATTTTTTTATGTTCGCTTTTATTTTATTCCTCCCATCGGATATGAGTAGATTTTGCTGTGAAAGATATTAGTCTCCCTTGAAAATAAATAAATAAATAAATAAAGGAAAAAGAAAAAATGCAAAGAAAAAAGAAAAATGAAATGTGGAACGAAGAGAACAATGAAGACAGAAAAATTAGGAGAAAGCAAAGTTGAAATAGAGAATACGATAACGAAAAACAATGAGAAAATGAGCTTGAAGCCTTTGGGGTACATGGGAGTAAAAAACGGCCTGGAAAAGGTTGAAGAAAAAACAAGAAGGAAAAGAAAATGGAAAAGAAAAATGTGGATGACTTGTTATAGCAGGTTGCTATTAGGTCATTTGATCATATTGATGTTTTTTTGAAAGTAGGTATACTTAAGTGATTCTTTTTTTTAGTAAAAGGGCTTAGGTGATGGTTTCGTAATAGTATAGGGGCTTATTTGACCCTTTTTCCAAAAACAATACTCGTAGTAGTAGTTATACAAAACAAAGTAGTTAATGTAATTTAAAAAAGGGGTAATTTCAGTTTGCACCTCATTTTATTGTGCAAATTGGACTTTGCACCCCGTTTTTAAAAAACTTTATTTTTGCATCTCAACCCCATGTGAAAAGAAAAAAATGCCCCTCCATTAACAATTTTGTTGGCTTTCAACATATTCCTGATTGAGGACCTTTTGTCTTTTCATATGGGGTTAGGGTGCAAAAACAAAGATTTTTAAAAACGGGATGCAAAGTCCAATTTGGACCATAAAATGAGGTGCAAACTCAAATTACCCCTTTAAAAAACTCTTATGAAAACTTATGTAAAAATAAATAGATAAAAGTTTAGTTATATATATTTCTTTTTATTTTATCTTCATTTTTTATTCAAATCATTAATGGTAATTTCAAGTCTTAACAACTAATTGTAAACAACTAATGATAGTAGCTACTCCCTCCATCCCATAATTAAGGTTACAGTTCGATGTTACACACATTAAGGAAGTAAATTTATTGGGGTGAATTTTACAGTAGCTAAGAAGAGCCTGAAAAAATAAAAACTTATAAAAGACAATTCAAAAGAGATCGAATAATATAATAAAGAGAGAATATCTTAAACAGTCGTATAACATAGATAAAGTGCAAAAATTAAATTACCATTACTTTATTTTTAAAATATCGCTCATTCACTTGTAATTAAAGAATGTTATGCTTTTTATAAAATTAAATACTTCTATTTCAGGAATAAAACATAGTGACTTTTATTTGTTCACTTTATCTATGTTTTACTGCTATTTGGAGCAATTTCTCAATTTCTTTATAATAAAGTAGCATTGTTAATAATATAAATAAAAGTCTATAAACTGTATATGATCAAACCACTCGGTTTTAGTAACTGGTATTTCAAAATTGTAAACTGAACTTGTCTTATTTGAGATCTCTTCATAATTTATTTAATATGGATAGAGAAAAGAAATTGGAATATACACCAAAAATATCATCAATTTAATATCATCAAATTGGAATAAAAAGTTAATATCATCACCATTAAAAGTACACTTAAGCAATTTGTTTCAACATGCAAATTGGAAAAAAAAATTCCAAATTAGTTTAATTCAATCAAGTAGGACTACTTGAACAACTTTTTAAAATCTTTATAGCAGAGTTGCAAAAAAACATCTTTATAGTAGAAGGTCTAGATTGTTTTTAGCACAAATTAAGTTCAGACAATTGATTGGTCTAGAGAATGTTAGTAGATCATGGCCTCAAGCTCTCCACAGTGTACTACGTAGAACAGGCTCCTACAGTGGACTCGGGCCGGTTCGGGCCTGGGCCGGCCGGGCCTCGGTTCATGAAAGGGGAGGCCCGGAACCGGCCCGGGTAACCCCCGGGTCCAGTTTCGGGCCGGGCCTCGGTTCCATTTATTTTTTTTTTTTTTGGCTTTTCCTGAATAATCCCCAACCCTCCCCTCTCACCCCCAAACCGCCTCAAATGGCCCAAAATACCCAGCCCAACCCAAAAACTTGAAAAAAATTCAAAAAAAAAAAGAAAAAAAAAAGAAATTGGCCCAGACCGGGCCCGAGCCGGCCGGACCGGGCCCGAGCCCGGAACCCCAGCGGGTCGGGCCTACCCGGACCGGTCCCTGGCCGGGCCGGCGGTTCGGGCCGGTTCAAATAGTGACCGGGTCGGGCCGGTTCCGGGTCGGGCCGCCCGGCCCGAGTTCACCCCGAATAAGTATGATGAGGACGTCCATCTGATAGTCTTTGGAATTGGATTAACGTCATAGTTATTCGGATAAACCAGAGTAGAGAACATGATCAACCAAACAGTAAAGTTGTAGTTACTCTAAGAAAAGAATAATAAGATAATCCAATGAATAAATCACAAGAAAAATATAAACCTGTGCACAACAAGGTATAGTTTTCGTCATTTGTCAAAATAGCTTATATCATTAAAGGTTTTATTTAATAGCATACATAAATGGGCAAAAATTACTTTAAAAAAGAAAACAACTCTGATCAATTTGAAAAGGTAGCTAAACAATGTATGCAACATTGTCTACAAACGTAAGTTGAAGTTCAACCCACATGGAAACTGGATTCAACAATCCGTAACCATTCTCAGGCGCGAATATCCTTTCCTCCTAACCACCAAAGGATAGATGTGTTTAAAAATAGAACAGGAGCGCCTTGGTTGAGCTCAGCAAATCTGAGGCCAACACGCATCGAATGCTTCAAGAACTTCTCTGTGGCCTAGAGTTCATAAAAAGAAAGAAAATGACACTTTTATCCTCGTTCATGTTCAAGATATCCATGTGAAGAAAAAAAAATCCAAAAGAGATATCAACATACTCGGATTTCTAATATAAATTACCTCGAAGATCAAACTCCACATTGATAGGATGACTATTGCGCGCATGTGATGGTGATATCGGCGACGATCTTTTAGGAATCAGGGAACGTAAATGTTTCAAATTGAGATTTTATTCAAATTTTTAACAAAAAAGTCATTCATAACGATCAAAATTTCATGTGTAGAGTCACCCTATAGTGATCATATGGTCAAAATAAGTTGAAATAGACTTTACCCATATAATTCTAACCGCCACGTGTAATATTTCGGTCGAAAATTTGAATAAAATCTCAATTCGAAACATTTGTGTATAGTTATGGTACTATTTGGATTTATTTAAGAGTTAAGGTACCAAAATGCAACATTACCAATAGTTGAGGTACCATTTATGGATTTACCCCTCCAGTGAATAAAAAATGTAGTCTATGAAATCATTAAGGCACGCAACAGTTTCACGTGAATAAAAGAATTGGTGTTGCCCAACCTCTAAAATGTTGTAGTGATATTTGGCCCCCTTCACTCGAGCTATCGTCCTTCTTCGCCAAACCACTTATTGGGAGTGACTTTATGTTCCTTCTACCAGCAGGCAGTAGCAATCGTTCTTTCTCTCTGTGTCGCTTTTCTTTGTTTTGGTATTGGAGTTTCGGGTCCTGATCTTATTTGTATCAAGCTAATTCAAGTGACAATCAAAGACTGATCATGTCTTAAATTATCTCACTTGTTGTTTCACTCGTAGAGAAAGATGTTTAAAACAACTTGCTATATATCGTAAAGTGATCGACTCAAAATGTCTTCTAGACCAATCCTAACACTACGTTCTGAAACAATGAATTCCAATCAGCTTTTAAATTTCCATTATGGATAGCTATTTCAATTTCTCCAAGTGACATGTAAAAATAATAGTTTGAATTTAACAACTTCATTGTATCTCGGAATTTAGGAAATCCCGGAAAGACACGAGCTTCACCTTGGGCCAAAGAGACACTTTGTAGAAAACCGTGTACTACAAAAAAAATATTTGTGCGACAAACATGGGGGGTGCTGCCGAGGGCCTATTCTGGCAACTGTTTACAGAACGGATGAATATACTACGTATAACTTTTGCGATGGATATGATATAGTATTGAGCCAAAGGACTCAACTTGCAAATTTAATTGCCTAATAGTCGCACAAGCTTTTCCTAATCCAAAATATATTTGCAAGGCTAAAGAGAGGAAGAGCTTCTTCTAATAGGGGTAGCAAGGTGAAGCAAATAAGAAACTGATCTACAAGTTCACAAATACGTAGTACTTATTATATTCTAATTGTTCATCCTATGTTAGTTGTTTATAAAAGCTCTTCGTGTAAGCTATACGTAGAAACTATTCGTGTTTTGTGTGCACGTATATAAGCGTACGTGCCATAGAAACTTACCCAAAAAGCTCTTCGTAGTACTGATCTCCATAGAAACTATTCGTGTTTTGACCTCTTAGAGATGGATGTTAGTTGCATTGTTCATCCTGGAGCTTTAGTGCTCTACAAAATATGATAATATGTTCTCGACATTTAGCAAAACGATCATTAGATATTTCGTTGATGCAGTAATTAAACTATAGAAGGTATTTCAATCAGCACTGTGGATTGTTCGCCACTTGTCAAGTAGTTTTTGGATTCGTATTAGTCGATATGTGATAACAACTATAACAACATTGTTCTAGCCTTTTGAGTTGTGTTCGGTATCCTACACTTTCAAAGTAGTAGCCAACTTGATCATTGGACTTTCTTCTGAGTTTAAAACAGTTAATGGTTACATAAATTGCGCAATTTATTTGGTATTCGTATTAAAATTTGTCTGCATCTCAGAAGCATATTCAGATTAATCCCAATGAAAATTAAAAATTCCTGTGGAAGAGGAGTTCATATCCATATTAGTGTAGTATACGTGTGATCGGTCATCGTCATTTGGGGCAGTTCCCGGTGGAATTTTTTGATTAAATGTTTTGAGCATCTTATTCATTAAGTCTAGTGCACTCATACCAAATTTCAGCTAAAACTTCAATCGGGAAGGCATTCAAATGAATTCTTGAAGATAACCGTGCAGTTAAAAGCGCAGTTATCTTCAAGAATTCATTTGAATGCCTTCCCGATTGAATTGTTA